AATGCTGTGCGCCTGAGCCATTTGCCATAGCTACGGTGCTGTCCCTTGGTCACTTCGCCTGCCAGGACGCGTGAACTTCAACGACATGGCTGAGCACCCAGTGCTTCAGATTCTGAGAGGGTTTAAGCGGTTTGGTTGTTTGAGGAGCCGGGCCAAACGCCTGCGGACTTGGAGTAGCAGCTGCACCCTAAACCCTAAACCGCGTGCCAAGATCGTGTCCCTCTTCGGCTCCAAGCCCCTCGTGAGCTATGAGCCTCCACAGCGTGGGGAGCCCAAGCATGGCCTTCAGAAAAGAACCATAAGCCCTTCAAGAAAAGCATTGAAAGGAACCCTGAAGCTGATCCCGAAACCAAAAAGCCGACTACTGAAGGTGCAGGCTGTCCTCATGAACGATTTTGAATAGAAGTTGAAGCTGAGCACGCAGAATAAGGACTACATATAAGACACAAACCGCACACTGGTACAGGCAAGCTCTATAATACTCTATAACTGTAACATTCAATACAAACTGAATTCAGTCGGCTTTTCCACTGTGTCCGGATGTGACTGTTCGGGTGTGTTGCAGGACATGGCGGCGGACTTCTAGACTCGCTGATGAGGAGCTTCGGCCACCTCTGCGGTGCGCCCCCAATCTCATGTTCTCTCCTTCGCGGCATTGGAGTTGCAGGGTTTCTGGTTGCAATTTTTTTTGAAAATGAAGCTCTTCTAAAACCCTTGTAAAGCTCCCTACAGAGCCCTTGAAAGAAATCTTCCCCTAAAAACCCTTTAACCCTAAACCCTGAACCGGTCTTCGGGTTTTCAGAGCATCGAAGCGGCCAGGTGTGGCGCCTGCCAAGGCACCCCCGCGCTATGTGGGAGATGCATCTCGATTGCAGAGATCCAAAATAGAAGCCTGAATGACTAGGGTTTAGAGTTTAGGGTTTAAGGTTAGCAAATGAGTATTACATGATTAGGGTTAGTGTTTAGGAGTTTAAGGTTTAAGGTTAGGAGTATTTATGAGTATTGTTCCGCACATCTACTTATTACGACCCTTTCGTTCGGCTCACAGGCTCGCACGGCCCAAAACCGAAGCTCCGAAGATTGACCAGTAAGGTGGCACCGCCACTTCCTGATGCCAAGAGCTAGCAGGGAGTGGTGCCAGCTTTCCTTCTCGAAAAGATCGTCTGAGCACAACTCGATGAAGCAGCCAGCGGCCGCTGTTGTGCTTCTTTTAAGTCGGTGTGATAATGAAACCACCAATCGCAGTTGTCTGGCACTGAAGATTGCTGCAGTGCTTTGTGTCAACAGAGTAGGTCCAAGATTCAAATCTCCAGTGCTGCACTGGCTGGGTCGACTCCTGAAGGGAGGACATGGCTGGGAACGACTCGAGTGCATGCTGAGAGCAGGACCAAAGCATGCATGTTTTGGTTCTGCAGACGCAGCACAACCTTCGTTAACGCCACTGGTAGGGCGTCTGCTGCCCAGCTAGGCGCTTCCAACAGTGAAAAGCCGACTCTCATGCGTCACTGCGTGGGACTCTTGCACCGGCTGCTTTTGCTGCTCCTGCCATGTCTTGCTCCTATGCAAAAAGACGCGCTGGCACAGAAGCTGGACGTGCGAGCACATCTTCAGCGACAACATCGCGTTTGCCCAGCAGAAGATGGGCAGGACGGCTCAAGGGCTTCAGCAATACTTGCGACTTGCGACCGACCCTCAGTGAAAAGCAGAGACCCGAAGCCCCAAGCCGGACACCGCGGAAAGCCCCGAGAGGATGCCTTTCGTGGGATCCTCAGGCGCCGCAGCTCTTGCTCATGCCTTTGGTCTCGGGGTGGAGTGTCTCCCTAGTTTATGCACAGATGAATGAGTAATGAAATGGTGACGAGATAGAATAGAAGAGGCAGCATCATCAGAAGGGCAGGAACAGCCAGGCAGAGGCAGGCAGGTAGGCTGACAGATAGCCAGAGGGACAGACAGGTAGATTGTGTGTGCGTGCAGGTGTACTTGAGTTTGCGCCCCTCTCTCTCTCTCCCTCTCTGTCTGTCTCTCTCTCTCTCTCTTTCTCCCTCTCTCTCTCTCTCTATCTCTCTCTCTCTACCCACACAGAGACCCACACACACACGGAGACCCACACACACACACACACGCTTCTTCGGCTTTGGTTGTAGAAGCAGGATTATCACTAATTCTTTGTGGGTGAACTTCGCTGGCCTCATTGCCTTTGCGCGCTGTTGATGCATCTCAACAGCCGTGCAGCGCATAGTCCCTGCTTTGAGATTGCGGTCCTGTTCCCTGTATACACTCTCTAAAAAAGTTCTTCCTTGTGTTAAGCAGGGTTATGATAGGGAAGCCAATGTTATTCAGAATTATGGCCTGTACAAACAGATCGAGCGATCAACCACTGGTCCACATTGCAGTACTGGGAAAGAGCTGGGCCAGGATTCTGCAACGACGTCTGCGAAGATCGCGCACGTCTTCCAAGGCACGCCCCTCTTTTGGAAATCTTCTGACCTGGCCTCCAGACTTGTCAAACTCTGACGAAGAATGAGGCGTGTATTCCAGTCAGTAAACATAGTTTTATGGCATAATCACGGATTAACTTGTATAACCTGTATAACCTACAATCTATAGTGAAGAACAGCCAAAATGATCCAAAATGTGTGGTATGTCGCAAAACATCACTGTCCCTGGAGGCCTTATTCAAGATGCATTTCTGCAGAGAAACTTGGCGCATGCCCTGTGCAACTCTGTGTCAGGCATTCTACTTCAAAGATGCCAGCGGCCATTTGAGGCAGACCGGACTTGCAGTGGGAAGTGCAGGTTACGCCTAGCGTTGGCGCATCTCGAGTACACGAGACTTCTGCCTGCACTACCTCTTGAAAACTGACAACATCCACTTCTGCAACTGATGGGGTTGACCAGTGAGGGGCCAGTGTTTCTTAAGAAAACTTGCCAGCGATGTGCCTAGAATTCCTCACAATCTCGATCGAAGCACATTCGACCAGGTACGTGGATTCGGATCTACAGAGGCTCCAATGACCGACTTGCCTGCCAGCGGTTGGAACCAGCCCGTATCACCTCTGCAACTTCCTTCACACTCGATGCTCAAGCCCGACAACTTCAGCGCACCACACATGCAGACGATTTTTTCTCCCCTCAGCCCTAAACCCACCACCCTAAAGACTCAAGCCTGAACCCTAGTCTTTTCGTGCTGGTTCCCTCGCGCCCCACGGAGGGCCAGTAGAGAAGACCGCTGCAGGATGTGCCTGAAAAATCAGAGCGCCGGAGTGCACCTAGATCACTACTTGGAGGATCATGGGACTTAGTAAGTATGGTTATAAGTACCTTAATTGGGGTTTTAGTATTTATGAGCACAGTTACCCTAAGAATAACCCTACTGTAGTTACTACGTCCCATGATCCTTTTAAGTAATACTATCAACAATAGAAGTAGTAACCATCGTAATATTAGTAGCAATAGGAATACTAGTAGCGGTACTGGTAGTAATTTTAATTACAACATCGCTTCGGTGCCCCCGAGGTCCGAAGGAACTCTACGGCAGCTCGAGCGGCAGCTGGAAGAGTCCACAACCGCAAAGGCCCGGCAATCCATCATGGTATGGTTCCCTAAACCCTGAACCTTAAACCCTGAACCCTGAACCCTGAACCCTAAACCCTATAAGCCCTAAGGCCTAAGCCCCATAGATCCCAAGCCCAAACAGGAACCGAAGCCTTTAGCTCCCCAACGGCTTCCATGCAAATGCCTCGAATTTTAAATCTGTTCTTTGATTGTTTTAGGTGCTTAACACGCATAATGAAGGCTGAAGATGGGAAGCTTTGAGCAGAAGCCTTGGGTGAGCTGAAGGGCGCGGTTCTGCGATTTTTCGATTCTGAGCCATGAGTCTTGCGGCCACTGCCGTTCTTCTTCAATCTGTCAGCAACCTCAAGGCCTAATGACCGGATTCAAGGGCTTTAAAACGAGCCAACAACTGCATCTCTAAAGCTCAAAGCTCAGAGCCTGAAACTCGAGCGACTCCCTGGATGTTTGGATTAAGAATACCCCNNAGCTGGGAGTTTCCGAAAATAGGGGACCCTAATATAGTAGCCTAAATAGTAGGATCCTTATTATAAGGGCCCCAAAATAAGGTACCCCTAATTTTCGGAAACCCCCAGCTGTCGGCTTTCAGGTCGCCCTGGAGCGCCGGGCCTCGGAGTTACAAAGAAAGCTCGCGGAGCAAAGCCAGAAGCTCGCGATCTGAAGCTGTGAGGGGGTTTTGGGTTTAGGGTTTTGGGTTCAGGGTCTAGGGTTTTAGGGTTTTAGAGTTTAGGGTTTAGGGTTTAGGAAGGGTTCCACAAGGGTCCTATCAAGGTTCTTGTTGGTCAGACGAGGGTTTTGGGGTATGTTTGACTATAGTTCTATGAACGCAATGGGGATTATTCAAGCTTCTGAACTATGCACCAGAGTCGCAAAAGCACTAACAGCTAAAGCGCCAAAACTCCTCACGCCCAAAGCCAGACAAACCAAAGCAGTAAAGCCCCAGAAACCGAAAACGGCAAAACCATGATCAATGCAAGTGGATGCAATCAAGCTGATGTTGGAGTTTTGTTGTTCGGCCACTTGAAGGTCTGATTTGCTTTCGCGGAGGCGTTCGGACTTGTGGTTTGGAGTCGGGTATCACTTTTGTCAAAGGCCCTGGCTCAGGTATTTGAGGTAGGAATACAGAAGACCCTAAACCGCCTAAACCCTAATCCGATGTCTGGCGCGAAGCTTTGAAGCGCATGTCCGCCACGAGCAGCAAGGTGAAACCTTGCAGCGAGGGCACCAGGAGGCACCAACGCTGCCCCTGCGGTTTAGGGTTCACGGTGTAGGGTATGACTTCGACTTCTCTGCTCGGAATCATGGGATCCTGCCATGGTCACTTCCCAAAGAAGCATTTCATTGGTTCTGTTTTCCGAGGCGTTGCTGCTTTGCTTTGTCGCAGCCGGCTTGGCTCTGTGACCCGGCTCTGACAGCTCAAGACGAGCATGTCGGGGTCAGGGGAGCAGGACTCGGAATATGTGGAGGAGTCCGAGTCGGAGGAGGTTCGGGTGTTATGGGTCTTGCCGCATCCTAGAGCCCGAGACCCTGTCCAAGCTTGGCAGAGAAACCCCCTCCTTAAGCAAGAACACATACATGCGTCTGTGCGCAGGCGGGCTCGTCAGAGGTGGATGGTAGTGACGATGACGTCGATTCAGAGCCGGATGAAGAGGAAGCGGAAAGCATGAAGAAGTGGATGTCTGTAATTGACAAGACCTTCGAGGAAATGGAGCTCCCACCCAAGGTGGTGACGGCCACGCAAAAAGCATGGAATGGCTTCGTGTCAGTGTTTGAGAAGCGTGAGGCTGCGGCCGACGCGATTTACGGGGCCTTCTTTGATGCCTCCCCAAACCTTCAGGGTATGTTCAGAGCACCACGAGCCGCGATGGGCTTGCGCATCTTGGCCGGTATCGAGACCTTCATAATCAATGCAGGGAACCCTGCGGGGTTACGCAAGGAGGTCGAGGCCATCGCGTTCAATCATCTGGACCTGGATGTCACAGGCCCTCGCGTAGAAATGTTCCGGGAGTCCACACTGGAAGTCTTCGACCTAGAGCTGGGCGCCTTGTTCGGAACGCGTGCACGCCTAGGCCTGTCGGCAGTGATGACCTATGCGGGAGGCGCGTACATTCATTGCAGGAGAGAGTACGCAGGACGGATTCGAATCCTGCAGAGAAGTTGGAATACCGCTGCCAAGAAAGGAAATGATGTAGAAATGATAGAGGACTTGGACAGCAAGTCTGATGAGGAGGAAGAAGAGGAAGAGGTACCACAAGAAACCGAAGCTGCAAACGAGCTCGCGAAGACCCAAGAGGGGCAGGAGGGAACGACGAAAGCCTCGGCTCTGAAGGTACCCACGACCTTCGATGAAATGTTTCTCTTCAATGCTGCGGTTATGGGCTACGCAAATAGCAACTGGATGAAGTTCATCTTGGAGTACTTCGATCCAATTGTGAGCAATGTAGCTAACTCCTACCGCCTGCAAGAGGAATGTGATGTTCTCTCACTGAATCTTGCCAAGTGCAAGGGTGAGATCAACCTCCCCGAGTTCAAGGCCGTCATGCTGGCTTCCTTGAGGTCCTCTGAGCTATGAATCTGGTACGAGTCTTCTTACCTCTTCATACAAAACCTGTGGTTGAAGGATATACAGTGTATACAGTAGACCTCTTCCCGAAAAGCGCTCCTAGAGAAAGCCACCTGCTCTTCTAGAAGCTTCCACCGATCCCCAGGTCGCTCGTGCCCAAAGATTGGAACTCGCAGCATGAAGTTGCCTGGAACTGGCTTTGGGAGAACGTCGAGAGGCTGCTCCGAGCGCAGCTGGGCAAGCCGCGTGCACAGCAAAAGGCCATAGAGCGCTTCCTGGTGAACCTCTCGCAGGAGCCTGGGCGTGGAGACAGAATGGCGACATCACTCTAAGAAGCTGGCTCAAAGAACGAAATCCCCGCTGCGCATCATATTGGGACGGACATTAGGACCAAACTTGCAAGGTTCTCCGCGGCCCGTTGACACAATACCGAGTCTATAGCATTTTCCTGTTGCCAGTCCAGGTACTGCTACTGTTTCCATCATACTTTTTTACAAAATATTTTTTCTTCGCGACTAGGCGCAAAAGAACAGGCCAGCACTCAAACGAGATTCCGAATCAGGGACGACTCGGGTTTAATTGCCTGAGAGGAGTGGGATGTCCTTGTGCTGACTGGGAGTTTACCAGCCCCCAAACTCTTAAATTCTTAATTTATTCCGATTCGGATCGACATCGCCTGGAGATTTTAAGAGAAAGCTTGAAACCTCTGCCAGGAGGCTCTGACCAACTATTGCCGCGATGTGTATAAGAGGTTCTTCCAGTTGGCACCCTCCGGGCAAGATTTCTTCAAGCAGTCCACCACACGTCTCTTCTTCATTGCGGAGAAGATCGTGGAGATGACTGTGGAGATGTACCGGACTCCTAAGAAGATGGTGGAAGAGCTCTCGGGCCTTGGCTTAAGGCACGTGGGCTATGGTGTGCCTACCGAGCTCTTCTCGCCCTACGTGTCGGCAGCCGTTGAGGTGATCCGCGGTGTGACTACCGACGAAACGACGGAGACGGCTTTCCGATGGTCCCTGACGCTGATTGCAAAAATCATGGCCCTAACCTCAGTGTGAGAACTTCAGTGAGGGGCCTTCGGTTACGCCTGAAGTTGTGGAGACGTAGCTTCATTCTTCACAAACCCTTTTTCCACCACCGCTTCCTTGCGTTGAGTGCTCAAATGTATCAGGTTCGGACCTTGGTGGAGGGCTCGACGGTTGTCATGCAGGCCATTAACACCAACGTGGAGAAGAATCTTCGAAGGGCCATTTCAGTGGCTCCGCGCGGCAAGAGGGCCATGGAGCTGTTGAAGATCACGGTCGGTACGCAGTCGATCTCTCCCCTCTATTGGGCCATCGAGTCCGGCAGCTTGATCTGTGCGCAGGCCATGCTTCAGGACCTGCTGACGATCCGGGCTGACAGGGACAACTACTACTACGGAGCAGACGCCCTCTTTACTCGACACCCAGAGGTCATCAAGAAGCTGGCATCCAGTGCACCATCGCTGTTGGACTGTCTCCTGGAGGGGTTGATTTGGCGTTCTCGGGTGATCGTCAACGGCACGAGAAGGGTCAATTGCTACTTGAAACACCTTGTGCAAGACATAGATGGAAACCCTCACCAGGCTCTTCAGTGGCTTGTAGAGTACGGTAATCCCATCACCATCAGCATGTTCACGGTGGTTCTGGTAGCGGACCTGATGTGGACCCGCCTCGTAGCCTACCAATTCCTCATCGGCAGATGTTACTTCCTTTTCACTCTTTGCGTCGCTGTTACGAGCCAGTCCTTGCTGACCCTGTCGAGCCCCGATGCGACGGAGACTTTTGAGTCCAACATTGTCGTTTTTTCATGTCGTGTCTTCATCTACCTCGGCAGCATGTGCAAGATACTGTACAACCAGTTAAGACTCTTGCAGCTAGACTGCAAGAATCGCGCCTTTGAGCGGAGATGCTGCCTGCCCATTCCGCAGTATCTCTTCAGCTTGAAGGAAGCTGGCAACTTTTTGCTTATGTGGGTTCTGCTTGGCATGTGCATCAGGGAGCCACTGTGGTGGTGCTCGCAGTTCACCAATACGGAGGAAACGTTAATATTCACCACGCACTGCGAAGCGGCCAAAGGCGACGGACGAAGACTTTATTCTGCCTTCTCCTGCATCGCAATTCTATTATACTGGTCTCTGGTGCTTGACTTTACCATCTTCTCAATGCATATTTCAGCCTATGTACTGGTTTTTGGAAGAGTCTTGTCAGAGGTGTTCCTCTTCGTTATGGCCCTGGCCTTCATGATCGTCGCTTTCGCAAGCGCGGTTAGTGCTATAGAGCACGAACTCTGGGAGTTTGCGGGTATCAGCACTTGGCTTATTTCCCTGACGCAGATGTCCTTGGGAATGTTCCCACACGACTCTTACGAGGAATTGAAAGCTGAGGCAGGCATCATGATCGTGATCATTGGCTTCGTTCTGATGGTGTCGGTAATCCTTGTGAACCTGCTCGTGGCCCAGTTGAACCAGGCCTACCAGCATGTCTACACGGACATGCAAGGCTACGCGCGTCTGAACCGTGCTTCTGTCATCGCCAGGGACCTGGAGCACGGGTGTTTGCTAGAGGTTGTCAAACTTGCATACTGCCACGCCGGTGTGTAACTCCGGATGTACCATCGTAAACGCGTTGCGTAGACGACGACTGGCGCACAAATGCCAGTCTGACAGCGGTTGCAACGGCCTGCGGTGTGATGCTGAAATTTTCATGGTGATGACGGTGACGGTGGCAAAGACTAGAACCTTATTGTCTCTATCGAAGCATGATGACGATGCCGGTGTTTTCTGTGCTACAGTGTTTAATTCTGCTGCTGGCCCCGACGACGACGGGTAAACACAGTTGCGGCACGTCGAAGTGCAGGAGTCATGATCAGTTGCCCTTGCGCGGTTCATTATCATGATGATCTCGTTCATTCATTCATTCATTCATTCATTCATTCATTCATTCATTCATTGGTTCAGTGATTCATTGATTGATTGTTTGATTGAATGACTGGTTGATTGATTGAGAATGGTTGATTGCTTGTTTGATTGATTGGTTGATTGATTGGTTGATTGATTGGTTGGTTGATTGATTGATTCGTTCGTTCGTTTTCGTTCGTTCGTTGGTTCATGCATTCATTCGTTCATTCATTTACTCACTCATTCATTCAGTCAGTCAATCAGTCATTTTCTATTCATTCACTCATTCGTTCATTCGTTCATTCATTCGTTCGTGCATTCATTCACTCATGCAATCATACAATCATGCAATCATTCAATCATTCAAACCAATCACTCACTCAATCAATCAATCAGTCGGTCAGTCAGTCCGTCAGTCAGTCAGTCAGTCAATCAAGCAGCCAATCAAACAAAAAATCAATCAGTCAGTCCATGAATCAGTCAATCAGTCATCACCGTCGTCGACATCGACATCATCACCATCATCACATTCATCATCCTCACCACTACATCATCCTTGTAATCCTCAAAGGGCCCCCATAGTCAACGCCTTAAAAGAAGCCGAGCGACGCTCACAATCATGCCACCCACACTAGTCGCAATAACCTACAACGACCGCAGCAGCTGCAGCAAAAGCAGTTACACAGTGGAAGGGAATACACCACTTCAGCCTCACAGGTGCTGAATCATTGCTAAGATCATATACCCATGAACACTGAAGTCATTCGAGTCATAGTCATCGTCGCATATCGGCGGCAGTGCGCGAAACGAACCGTGTTAACATAATAACGGTCTCACATGCATCGGCACGTCGTGCTTTATTTCCGCACGCGCTTCTGTTCTGAGGTTAGCACGTTGGAGCAGATCTCTAGCAAGCGATGGGCCAGATTCCTGAAAGGCTGGACAGGTCATGTATAGGGTTACTGACAGGGTTACTATTACATTGCGTCACAATGCAATGGTGTCAGCGAGTTCAGCCGTAGCGAGGCGGTGGGGACGATTGCATAAAAGCCACGGGCACCCAATGTTCGACAAGCCCGGACATCTGCTCCAGACCTTCATGCTACATGTTGGTTCCTACGCATCTCTTGAAAGATAACGACCAGCCGGAGAATGTACAAATTTGCAGGTGTTGCCAATGGGTCGCGACAGCCTCACAGCCCCAGTAGTGAGACATTGGCGGTGGTTGTCGTAGTTGAAAGATAGTGGTGTCGTTGTTGTCATGTTGTAGAAAGGTTTAGGAGCGCAGGAGGAGGAGCAGATGAGCAGCAGGAGGAGGAGGAAGAGGCTTTGGTGTTGGTGGCTTCTGTTTCGCCAGGCTAGATGGACAACGAACTAGTCTTTGTGTTACAGTGCCTGTTGTGCTCTCACAAAGCACAGGATCAAACCCCCCTGGCCCCGACCGAACATCCTGAGCCTGAGGGCCTTTCACGTACCATTTTACTTGCACAGGCCTGAAGCTGAACGACCGACTGGAGTTCAACGAGGGTGATGTGGGCTTGCCTGGTGGGGTTCAGATTGTAGAGCCAGCCTCTTCGCACATCGTCACCGAAGACTCCATCCGGCGATTTGGAGGTTCGAGTGCAACGACAATGCCATGGCCAGAGGAGGATGACTCCATGGAAGACAGGCTCCGGGGTTCAAACGATTTAGAACAGGCGGGAGAGAACCGTGTTTGCATAGTTTTCCAAGATCGTTCAGATAACCCTAAGAACTCAATTACTTCTTACATGCAAGGTTTGATCGTCTGGAGAAGTTGTTCATGAGCACGGCTAAAAAGATGGGCGGGAAGAGGCGCAAGAAGAAAGGTGATGGAGGCTCCAGTTTACTTTCTGGCCTCTCTGGGGCCAACTCGGGTGGCAGTGATGACAGTGGCGGCAGCGGAGACAGTTGATCCAAAGCTGGTCATAGTCTACTTGACTCAGACTTCTGAGCCTGGCACTCTGAATTTTCATTTGCACCCGGGGACATGGCCAAAGCCCAACACCCTAAACCCCAAACCGTGTAATCCTCAGATTCGGACCCGAAGACAGCAGAGTGCCGAAGACATGTGTCCCCGTGCGGTGTAGCGTTAATTCGCACCACAGCACACCCGAAACAAGGGTCTGCAACCCGGAATTCGCAACGAATAGCTAGCCGGATCATCCAGTCAGGGATCTCAAGAGCTGTCATAGTACATAAGATAGTATAAGTATCATATTCGTATGATTATATAACAACTTTCTGAGATCCTACGCACGCACCCTGATTTGTCTCACTCTGCCGTGCCTCTTTTCGTAGCCACCAATGGTAGAAGCAAGGATCAGGTCGCACGAAGGTAGAAATAGGGTTTTGGGTTGGGGGTTCAGGGTACAAATTGGGGGTTTGCTGGGTTCACCTCGCAAGGATAGACATGCTAATAGCAAGTGCTACCAATTCTATGCTTACTTGGCACATGCCCTTAAAAGGGCGTGAGTTGGACGTTCGAACCAAAAGCAGTGCAGGAGCGGTGTTATTTCAGGGAAATGGACATGCTTGTAGTTCTGTGGTGTGCACACAGAATGCCCTCGATTCTGCCAGTCAGCCAGATTTTCTTCTATAGATATCGCAGCCTGGGCTCCACATCCTCTATCTCCTAGGCCGAATAGAAGATACAGAGCTGCATCAGTGGTGGCATTATCACTCGCCGGAATGCTTCGGTTGCGCCCGTGACAGTCAGTTGCAGACTGCTTCTCCAAACTTGTGCAAGACCTAGCAGTTGTTCTGAAAGCTTTCGCAATACTGAACCAGAAAACTTGCATCAGGTGCAGCGCTCGGCGCAAGAGCGCCAGAGCCTGCAGCAGCGGATCCTCGACATGCAGGTGCAGCACCCGCAGTCGCTCTGTGAATTCATGCGTCATGAAACCAGCTCCCACATAAACCCTAAGCTTCCAAAACCCTCAACCCTGAGTCTTTTGGTTGTGGTTAGCTGTGCAACAGGCACAAACCTTGCTTTTTCCAGGCTCTTGGCCGAAGCAGGCCCCCTTGTATCTCAGTTCTCATCACATGCACGGCCTCTAGGCATGCATGTGTTTTTCATCGGTCTATATCTATATGTATATGATCCACATCTATATCTATGTCTACACACACATGTATATATATATATATACACATATCAAAAGGTTGTGATTGGATATGTTTTGTTTCGACGTGTATATACATACATACATACATACATACATGCATGCATGCATGCATGCATGCATGCATGCATGCATGCATGCATGCATGCATACATACATACATACATACATACATAGAGAGGTATGTGGATAGATAGATGGATAGATAGGTAGCATTCGGCCCGACAGTCCGAAGCCTCCCCCTTGCAGGGCAAGACCTCTTTGATGGAATCCCTCCAGGGGGAGCTGGCAGAGCTGCGATCCAAGAATACCCAGCTGGACGGGAGTGCCCGGGGCATGATCTGAATTAGCAGATAACGGAAATAGCAAAACTAGCAAACAATAATGCTAATTTCGATAATGATAACGCAGTACCTGATTGACTGGTGATAGTAGTAATGTGGTATCGAAAGTCCTAAACTCGGAATGGGCAACCATCGCAATCGTTTTTGAAATATATGTCGGAAACCTGGCCGAGGGATGCGTGCAGCAATCTTTTTGCAGCGAGAGGTGGGCTGCAAAAGTGATTCGACTCCTCTCTAGAATCTCGGGCTGCGGGACGGGCCCTTGTTCCATCAGGGTCAGGCATCGACTTCTGGTAGGAAGGTCTCGCATGCACTCACTGGACGAGACTGAAAGTCTGTTCTGACATGATGAAATCACATGCCAAAAAAACCCTGCACGGGCCTAGCTGCTGTGCAAAGAGTCGAATTGCCCCACGTAGGGAGGTGAGATTTTAGTTAAGCTTCCTGTGAAGACCACACGTAGCATCCCCCGAAGGGGGCCCCCGCCCTGCGTGCGCACGATGGTGGCGGTTGAGGATGACCACCTCACAGCTCGCCTTGGGAAGATGTACATGGTGCCCAGCAAGGAAGTCGTTACGACTTCTGAAGCTGCTGACAAGCACCTGAGGGCTTTCGAGCAGGGCTGCGAGGAGTGGATGTCATATCACGCCCAGCCCCACAGTGAGGAGGATCTGGAAGCGTTCGAGCAGTTTGTCCTGGCGCTGCTTTCGGGCCCGGAGTTCAAGTCAGAGAAAGAGTACGAGAGCCGCATCCAGGCGGTCCGGCGACAGTTTAAGACCACGCTGTCTAAGCCGCAGATTGTCCGGGCCTACTACAGGCTGCGGGATGCCGGCCGCATCGAGCGAAACCCTTTCTTCGAAAAAGCCACGACGAAGAAAGCTGTGCGCTCGAACTCTGGGGTGGTGGTCATTACGATAGTTACGGCTCCCGGCAGGTTTTCATGTCCCAACGACTGCTACTACTGCCCAGACGAGCCCGGCCAGCCCCGGTCCTACTTGAGCACAGAGCCTGCGGTTGCAAGAGCTAATCAGAACGATTTCTGCCCGGTGCGACAGTTCTATGATAGGGCCGGCACTCTTGCAAAGCAGGGTCACACGGTGGACAAGGTGGAGATTATCGTGCTCGGAGGCACCTGGTCGCACTATCCCCGAGACTACCAGGAGGAGTTCTGCCGAGATCTCTTCTATGCTGCCAACACCTTTGACGAGCAGCTGAGCCAGCTGGGCGAGAAAGGGGAGAACGCAGCCAGGATCCGAGAGCGTCGGCCTTTGCTTGAAGAGCAGCGCCTCAACGAGAGGGCCGTCACAAAGATCATCGGCCTTACCTTGGAAACCCGGCCGGACCATATCACCCCTGCGGAAGTTCGCCGGTTGAGGCGCTACGGTTGCACTCGGGTTCAGATCGGCGTGCAGCACACTGATGACGCGATCCTCGCCTACATCAATCGAGGCCATGATCGAGCCGCAGCAGCTGGGACCGGACTTGGTTTTGCTACTTCCAATTAACAAAACTAAACCCCCTGGCTTCCGATTGTAGCTGTAGAATAATTCAGCCAATAATGCTCGCCAACATCCTATCAGAATTATTGAGCTGTTGCCAGTTCAGGCTTAAGGCTCACCCAAAACCGTGAGCTCTGCACTGCTTGATGAAGCGTTGATTGTTGATGATCGCGTTACCTCCGACGTGGGTGCTTGCGCGTAGATGTGGATTTGTTGACGTAGACTCAGGGAAGTAGGTGGAGAATGCAAGACATAGCCGCTTGTCAAACAGAATAAGCCTGCGAAGGCTGTCGGAACAGGCTGCAGAAATGGGTTCTTTTTCTGCCTGGCAGTGCCAGGCAGTCCGGGCGACTCGCTTGCTCAAGACTTGCGGTTTCAAGGTGGATATCCACCTCATGCGACCTGGCTGCGGTAGGCTTCTAGGCATGGGCGTGCCATACTCCGAGCTTTCGTGCTTTGCCAGAGAGCCTAGACCCCTTGAGTTAAGTATAGTATAGTATGGTGTAGTATAGTATAGTATAATTTCTTATGAGCCCGAATCAGGAGTCCTAAACCCTGAACTCTAAGCTGCACTTCAAGGTATGTCCCCAAGCTAAAGCCCGAAGCCCTAAAACCAAAGGTGTGTACTCCCTACTTGGAGGTTCATGGGTAGTTATACATTGTACCTATACTTATAACCCATATAAGGGGACTTATAACCCTACTTATAACTACCCATGAACCTCCAAGTAAGGGCTCTCAAGGGCTCTCCGGGCCCATGGAGGCCAGATCTTCCCGGCTCCGACACGGAGAAGGATTGGGCCATGTTCCAGGACGTGCCGGGGCCGAGGAATGATTCATTAATAAGTTGGATCAATATCCGTTGCTGTAGAAATATATATATATATATATATATATATATATATATAAGGGCTCAGAAGACCGCACAAGGGCGGATAGCTGGAGCCCCAGTACCCAATGCGGGGTACGTCATGAGCCACACCATGCCGGAAGTCAGATGAACAAGTGCATGCCAGAGGTCGTGAAGACCATGCTGGCATGCATCCCATGCTCTCTCATCCAGGCCTACTCCAGCGCAAGCAACGGGAGGCACAAAGTGGTAAGGACATCACTGCTTTGCAAGGTGGACATGTTGAGCACTGGCGTGGAGGACACGCTTCCACACTACGCGGTACAGGGGCTGGCTTCAAGAAGACGCTGGCTTTCCAGACATGCGCAAACAAGCAGGACGGAGGCTCGTCAGACAAGGGCTTCGATATCTTCAAGCGGAAAGCTGGCAGCCACTGCACTTCACCCCACGGGAGGGTGTTCATGGGCGCGAGGGTCGCGCTGTGCAAGGTGGCCATGTTGAACAATGGTGTGGAGCACACGCTCGCTACTACACGGTAGAGGAGATTGGGGCTGGTTTCATGAAGACGCTGGCTTTCCATACGTCGCCATCCAACAGAACAGAGGCTCATCAGGCGAGGACATCTGTATCATTAAACGGAAAGCTGGCAACTACCGCACTTCACTTATCGTGAGGGTGTTCATGGGCGAGGACGACACGCTGAGCATGGTGGCCATGTTGAGCAGTGGTACGGAGGACTCGCTCCCACACCACACGGCAGAGCAGTTTGCGGCTGGCTTCAAGAAGGCACTGGCTTTCCAGAGTTCTGCATGATTAACTATTAAGTTT